ACTAAATAATGGGACCACTCTGGACAGGCTATTCAGAGTTGATTGTGCCGCCGCAATATCGTCGAAAAGCAAGACGATATCGTTCGCATAATCTAGATTAACTAACCTTTCACCCGGCAGCACTTCAACGTATACTTTGTGAGAGTCCGCAAGGAACACTCCGTGATAGAATCCACGACGAAATTGAACAAAAACGGGGGAATCGGACAACCCTGACGAACGCCACTTGTAGTCGGAAAGCTATCCGATAGGCCACCGCAGACCCTGACGCGGCCTGTAGTGTTCGAGTATAGAGCACGAAGGATGTTCCCATATTTCGTGGGAACACCTTTCCGCGCAAGTAGTTCGAACAGAATCGATCGATCGACTGAATCGAACGCACTCTTGAAATCGATGAACACAGCTATTGTCGGTCTGCGGTATGCGTGGCGCTGCTCTAGCACCTGCCGCGAAGTGAATATATTGTCTATACACTCACGCCCTGGGAGTAAACCGGTCTGCTCTTCCCTAATCCGATATTCCCGTTCCGCAGTGAGGCGACGAACGATAATCGAGGCCAGTAATTTTGTCACAACTGGCGTTAGGCTAATACCCCAGTGGTTAGAACAGTCTGTGCTACTGCCCTTCTTGTATATTGCCACTATAACCGATTCGCTCCAATAAGCCGATACACTTCCCTTAAGATACGTTCGAATAGGGAAGTCAGTGATTTGCAGAGGACCTCACCTCCATCCTTAAATAGTGCAGGTGGGAGGGAATCCGGGCCAGCGGCACGAAAACGATTGAGGGCTGTGATCACGTTTCGGACCTTGACTTCCAACAGAGGCTGTAAGCTAACCGTCCATGGCTCGTCCTGCATCGCCTGAATATCAAGTTCTAGGAACAGGGAGCCAGCTGAACTGATCTTGAAAGAGTACTGCCCAGCGAGGCACACGGCTTCTTTGTTGTGTATCAATGCACCTGCCTTCTCTTTGTCTCACTGACGTTTGGTTTTCTGGGACCAGTGGTGCGGATTAGCTGGAAGAGCTTGCGGTAATTGTATACTGCTCCTGTCTCCTGCATTTCTTAAGTCCGACTGGTCCAGCAGACTTCCTTGTCAGTACGTAGGCTTCGTTTTTCTTCCCGCCTAATAATCCGTCTGGTCACATTGTGCTCAGAGCCAGGTTCACCGACCTCTCGGATATCCAGTGACTGGTGCCACAGGCAGATACTCCTGTGTCATGCATGGCGGCCGAGATCCTATTCCACTGAAACTCAGTGTCATTAGAACAAGACAGCGGAATTTCGGTGCGCAGTGCGTCTTGATAGGCTCGCCTGACCAATTGCTAAGACAATTTCTCCGTTGCCAATCGGAGGAGACACGTGATGCGCCTCCCGGTCAAGTTCATGGAGAAACGACAGCGTACCAAAGCATGATCAGAGTCAAAGCGGGTATTCTAGTACGAGTGACAATCCAGAATGGGATCACGCCACCTGTAACTTATGGCTCTGTGGTCAATTTGGGTCCATCACTGACCAGCTAAAGGAGGACGCCAAGTGGCACTTCGGCGCCCACTGTGTCTAAAAGCAGTGCTACTAAGAAAAAACTGGTGCTTCCCACACAGTTGTAGCAGAGACTCGCCGTTGTAAGTCCGTTCGGAGTTGAGCCCATACTTACCAACCAGCTGAGCTACTGAAAAGCTCAGACGTCCTATTTGAGCGTTCATACCCCTGCAAGTACTATGATATCTTGACTAGTAGCACTGCGTAGTAGCGCTTTCAGTTCGTGTTAGAATGTGTCCTTGACAGCCTTAGAACTGCGTTTGGTGGGAACATACGCGGAAATCACAAACAAATAGCCTTTTGTACTACTTCGTGTATAAACCTTAGCTGATTTCGTCAAACGGGCTGCGCGTAAATGGCTGTTCACCGGAATCCAACCAACCAACAGTGACTCAGCCTTGGAGCTTCGAATGATACCTACACCAGCTTGACCGGTGAGTGCTGCCTCGGCGTCTCCGGATGCGTGCAACCAATAACTAGAGGATAAGCCTTATGCAATTAATTCAACGACCTTATTTGGACCATTGATCCTAGTTTCGAACACAACACACATTAGTACTCAGTGTGTCCAAGGTGCGTGCGAATGCAGCCTGTTGACCTGTTTGTCCTGGAGTGCGAACGTTGAACATCGCCTTGGAAACGGGACAGCGTGTCTTTATAAGGGACTGTTGCTGATAGGCGTCCAGTGCGTGTCGCTGGCTGCAGATGGTTCTACTCCAGTGGCACTTCGGTTGCTGTCATTTAAGCTGGGAATTATAGAAGGAAAGTTAGTAATGGGGGTCGGGATGGGATTGAGAGCAACATGTGGAAAAGAAGGAAGTGAGGCGCCAGCAATAGCAAATGTTCGTTTATGCGCCCTGTTGTTTGCAACAGATAAGTACTCTTAATAATCTGCGCGACGGCCGATGTAAGATGTAGTTCGAGTCTGGGAAAATTGTCATGATTGTTTGTGTGCTGAGATACTGTCAGGACACCCAGACCTGGACAGGATGGGGATTAGGGTCCTGATACAGAGCCTTTATCTCAAAAACCTGTCCGCAAGGCAGCAGTGAGGTGGCAAGTATCTGGTTTTACAGAAATGGACGTCCTCCAATTTCAAATCCCCAACCTGACCCGTCTCCACTGACCAACCTGGTAGGAGTAGCTCTCAAGGGGCCCGGAGGCACCACCCAGTATAGCTCGGTGGGTCAAGTGGGTACGCACACCGGCGCACCACGTTAACGTCCAGTCTCTGCGACGCTACGACACTGGCTCTTAATGAATCACCAGAGTCGACATAAAAAGGAAATGTCACACCTCCCACTTTGGAAGAGGTTCGACATGAGTTCACCGTGTTGAAACTAAAGAAGACTCCAGGACCCGACGACGTTTCCCCATCTTGGTTGAAAGATGGCGGTGACTCTTTGTTGACTGGACTTGCTTCTCTTTTTTTATCACAATTTGAGACACTGAAGTAATCTCAGACTGGCGGCTGTCAACTATCGTGCACATCTTCAAGTGGTGTCAGCGTACTTTGTGCGAAAATCCTCAAGACATTTGCCTTATTTTTGCTTCAGAACTTCTCACAGGTATCATTCTTCGACGACTTACTGGTCCCCGTGAGGATTGAAGCACCGAAAACCAGGCTGGCTTCCCGCCCCCCGGCCGTGTTATCATCGACCACATGTTTACTTTTCGCCAAGTTTTAGAGTTGAGACACACATCTAGACGACCGGCAATAGTGGTTTTTCTTGACTTCGACTTTGTTGACCCCGCCAGCTTGTGGCAATGACTACCCACGAAGGGCGCTGCCAGCTAAACTCCTTTCCATTTTGAAGTCCCTCTACCGTGATTCCCGAGACTGTGTAAGGGTCTACGGGAAACTGTCTTCTGAGTTCCACCTTTCATTTTTTCTTCAAGTTTGTGATCGAAATGATCATGACTCGGTTCTCCCAGATTATTCTGAAGTAGAAGTTCTTCCAGGCGACTGACTAACAAACCTGGAATGTGCGGACGACATAGTTCTCCTTGGGTCTGATGCATTGGCTATGCAAACACTACCGCACAGACTAATGTATTCCACTACACGGTTCGGAAAGTACCTTGCACCTTCAAAGTACAAAGTGTTGTTGCATGACTGGGCCGATACACCTCCGGTTTTAGCTATTTCCGAGAGCCTCTGGAAGTGTTGGATCGGTTCACTTACCTTGGTAACTGTCACCTCTTGTGGTCACATCACTGAAGAGGTTACTTCGCGTAACAGTAAGGCCGTGTGGCTTTTCAGATGCTCAATCATCTATGGGGACGGCGAAAGATCAGCTTATCAGTGAAAGGTAGGGTGTATAACTCTGCGATAAGGCCAGTGTTACTGTATGGATCGGAGACATGGCCAGTTCGGAATGAAGAGGTTAAACGTTTTGCCGTGTTTGACCACCGGTGCTTGCGAAGTATTGCACACGTTTGGTGGGAACACCGGGTGAGCAATGCTGAGGTCTTCTAGTTGGTTTTTGGCAAGTTGCCTTCTGGTGCCTCTCTCGATTGTTTGATAAATCTTAATCGCTTGCGTTGGCTAGGCCATGTCCCCCGTATGTCCATTGATCGACTTCCTGGGCGTGCATTATACGCCGTAGCTGCACAACGTTGGTATAAACCTCGAGATTGCCAGTCCATAACGCGGCATAGAAGCATTAAGAAATTGACTGAGAGGCCTTGTCAGGCAGTTACTTGCCGTCTTCGTGTATGAGGGCTTCGGTACCGTGCACACCAATGGTTGAACACCCTATCAGACACGGCGCGGTCACAAAGCAAGTGGCGTTCCTGCACTCGGCTTCTTTTAGCTGGTTATACATTTTCGTGCCGTTCTGATTAGTCTCGCGCATTCCTTTTTTGCTTTTCTTTCTCTACATTCTCTTTGCAAACAACCCCGCTCTCCTACTGGTTTTAGTTATTGTTATTCCTACGGTGTGTGAGTCGTGGCAACTGGAGATCCATCTCACTTCCGTTCTCGGATCATAGTTGATCCACTGAACTGAACTGAATTGCATCTTTTCGGCCGCTGGCCTTCACCAAAATATAACGTAGACTCCGTCATCTGCACATTTAGGAAAGGTACGGTACTTAGACAATGTTTTACACTGTAAGAGCTTTCATTTGATGTCGCTCAAACCCACACACTTTATGGACTGAGTAAAAGCACTTAGTTGCGTCACACTCTGCTTTCCAACGTCGCGCTTAAGGCTACGATTTACGGATTCATTTAACATTCACCTACTCACGTAAATTCACGTCTAAAAACCCAGCAGTTAGTTTATCCACTAGACTTATCTTCCGCCTTAAATCTACCTGGGCTTTTCTTGATGACCATACCGTTCTTACTCAAGTCCATTTGTTCTCTGTACGAACACTTACTTTCAAAGCAAACAGCACAAGGCGCTCCCTAATGCACAACCAATTCAACTTACTTTCTCTCTCTTCGCTAGCACATCCCGTTCTTCATCAATGAGCCTAATGAACCTGACGATTATTTCAACCTTCCAATTCGAACACGCCTAAGTATGCTGTCCCGATTATACGATGCTGGTGCGCGGTACGTATTTACCGGTCATTTACACCGAAATATGATGACATTGTGGACTCCATCCAAACAGTCGGATCCAAATCCTCTCCACTTGATCACCACATCTTCTGTTTCAGTTCCGTTGGGTCCTGATCCGCCGGGGATTCGTCTTGTTCAGGTGTCCGACACCGACACTGTTCAGCACACTTATTGGCCTTTGGATCAACTGCAGTCGCTTCTGGATAACGGGGACCAGCCTACGTTTGAACAATAATTCCGTCTAACTCTGCACACTGTCCCGGTGTTTCATTTTATACACAACTTCATTTATAACTTATTTCAACTTTTCTTCGGAATTATGCAGCTTAGCTCCAATCCGTCTTTTGATATGCAACATAACTGTCTGTTTCTGACCATATGTTGTTGTTGCAGGCGCCTTGTCCTTGAATGTTTGCTTCTGGCGTTTAGATTTTGCGTTAGGTGTCGCTTTTCTCACCTGCCATTTTTCATTCTTTAGATCACTGTGGTTATGCGACAGCAAAGCGTCATTTTTGGTAACTGCTTTGTTGATGATGTTGCTGCTGCTGATGATGATGATGAACTTTTTATCCATCGGTGTAGCGACGTCGTCGGCCTCTTGGTGCTGCTTTTGCTGTATTGTTACCATCCATGATATGTGTGGTTCATTAACTCTCTCTTCGTTGTTACACTTGTTCTTAAAAGGATGCTTTCCATCCATGGATACAGAGGGAATAGGCATTTGCTTACTGCACCCATGAGTTACTTTGGGGAGGCAGCCTCCGAATGGGCTCCTTTAAGAGCTGCCGACTGACGATCAAGTTGATGATGTGAAACAATTGTGGTCGATTTTTTGGTGGTTTACAGTCTTCTGGACTGGTTGTGCTGCTTCAACGCAACGGCCTTGTTCTGGGAAAAGCACTGTTTCTACATTGTTGTTGTTGTTCTTGTATTTTTACTGCCACTATGTCACAACGCAACCTGATTAGAGCTCCGCGGAACTTTTGTGGCCTGTTGGGCTAGCGTTCAGTGTATTGCTTACGAGCTGATGCTCAGTTGAATAGTCTTTTTCCTGTTTTTCTTTAGTCAGACCTTGACTCGGCAAGGTACCACAACAACCAGCGAAGAGAGTGTTAGAACACCTCCGCCATTGGATACCAATTTCACAACCTTTCCAAACAGGTGTACTCGCTGTCCTTGGTGTCCCAGCCCCCCGGGGTCAGGAGTTCCCCCTGTGGCCAACTGTCATACCAACACCTTGGCACTCTGGCAAATTGTGTGTTGGGCTTCCAATCAACACATGCGTTGTAAAGAGCGTGAAGCGGAACAATCGCTGGGCGGGCATACGAAGTACGGGCCCGAGCCCCTGAAGCACACGCTAGGAAGTTGCGCAGCTGAGTCTGTCTGACTTGTGGATATGACGGCGGAGATCATTATTACTAATGTGATGTTATCAGCGTAATAAGCGATGCTTCAGAGACAACGTGATCGAGCGTACGGGTCAGGTCTTGCAGCCACAAGGAAACATTGTTCGTACCGTGGCGTAGCGACGTCGCATCTTGGGGAATGCGAGTATTCCCTTCAACAAACTGGTTTTGTTGCGCCAGTTAAGATGGCTCAGTCACGTCCTACGCATGGCACCTGAGCGTCTCCGCATCGCGCTCTATTTGCTCGTCAAGAACCTGGCTGGAGACGACCGCGTGGTGGTCATCCTTCCACTTGGCGGCAGCACATGAAATCGCTGACTTCGTATCTAGCCGCTGTTGGATCCGTACGTCTTTCAGGATGGGGACCCAAAGATGAGGAGTGCCAATGGATTAACACTCTTGAAGACATGGTCCGCAACCGGAATCAGTGGAAGAATTGTGTACAGTATTGTATTGATTCACATGTTTAATACTACAAACATTAAAAATGACAAAAAAAGAACAAAAGCGGCGTGTGAAAAACAAACTAAAAATGTTTTGCTCTACTTTTTATCGAAATGTTCCTTTCTTCCTGCGGCATATTAGCTGAAGTGTGTTGCTCACCTTCAACTAGCATGCCACGATGATTATGACGCGAGGACTCTTGCCTATCCACTGACCTCCATGGTCTTATGTTGACTGTGTTTAGTTGATAGACTATTGAGATTACTACTACTACTACCGTGGCGTAGTAGACTTGATCTTTTAGTGGAATATTGAGGTCACGCTGATGCTGAAGTTATTGCCGGTTGGCAAGGTCTATTCTGATATTCGTGAATGCACTCATGCTGAAGCAACTCCTAAGGTAAACGAATAGGTCATTTACTTCCAAAGTAGAACGTTGGAGAGTGAGGGTAGAAGCAGTTTTTAAACAGTGAGACAGACCTCTCTGACCAGCGTAGCATGCGATGAGACGCATTTATCTTAGTGTCGTAATCTACTCTAATTTACGAAACCGATCTTTCGGAATCAACTCGACCCTACTAGGCCTACAATTTTCTGGAGCACTCTCTAAGTTGTCATTCACTGCGAAGTTGATAAACAAATATGATGCGAAGCAACCCTGTTTCACACCACTGGCGATACCGAGGAATTGCAAATGAACCACCCTTACCCATTGCTCGTGCTTGAAGCATAGTTTGCTTAGAGAATGTTGACAAGTTTCATAGGCACCTCTTTACTCGTTAAGCAACCTCAGATGGCAGTCGTTTCCACTGAGTCAGGCGCAACCCTTATGTCCAGGAACCAGACGATGCTTGACGAACTGAAAGCTCGACTGTGCTCAAGCATCTGGCTGGTCGTAAACATGTAGTCGATACAGCTCCGGCCGCTGATGACCGAAGGCAGCACGTCGGTGACTGCTCGTGACACCGCGTCTGGCACTATTTGTTGTTTACGTGTACTGCATTTAAATTGCAGTTTTCTCCAGTCGTGTCCATCCTTACTAGAGATCAAAGGACGTCCCAAGCTATTAGTGTTATTCACACTATCCCAAAACTGCTCACATGCATCCTACTTCTGTGGTTAATTTCGAAAGTTGAATCCTTGAACGTCAGGTTGTCTTCTTCACTGATAGGCGATGCACTGGCCACATTCCTGCTTATTGCTCTAGGTTTTGAAAATCACAAACAGTTCATTGCGTTCTTCTCTTAATTAAAAGTCACCTTTGGTTCAGATGATCACTCATCTATGACGATATGCAGTTTTGAAGGTCATGCTAGACGAGAATTTCAAATCATGTAAACCATGACTTCTGGGTTGTGTAAGCGTCCATGGAATATTATTCCAGATTTGCCATGAAAGTTAGAGTGCGTCAGCGCTCCCACTTTTCTATTTTGTTCGAATTCGTGCTCGAACTGATCCCGAATGGTTTCGCCCTTCCCGCCATTTTTCTTAGGCGACCGACTGTCGTACCAAGTGCACACCGGGTGTTTGCAACTTTTATGACACGTCCTGGCTATCTGTGCTCATACTCGGAGAAGGATGATACGCTGTTCACTGATAGTACGCTGCGCGTAAAGTATCCAGTTGAACTCGGATCGGTACCACCTAAGGGCCCTGGTCGCATGACATATATACGTGCGAGCTGGGATCCGTAACCTCATACGACTGCACCGAGATCCGGAAATGAAAGATGGGCCACTAGCAAGAGTTCGTTTACTAACAGGCAATGGTGAACATGGCTTCTACGGCAGAGAGCATCAGCAGTACACCGGTACGCAGTACCGACGCTTCTCCTCGGAGCAACCATTACAAGTTGCACCCCGGCAAGGGATCTTGCGAGGGTCGCCCGATCCCCTACACAGGTTTGAACCCCCGACAAGGCATGCTTGAGATCTCTAAGGTTACGGGCTTCTACACCTTTGTATTTATAGGGCTACAATCTGGATGGATTGGCGGCATCCGTGTCCGGATTTATCTGTCACTGTGGCCTCCAGTGGGACAGCCACAGGACGCCTGCGCCAACAGAAGGACCAAGGATGACTTCCTCTACATCACTCACGGCTTCATCCGCACACCTCAGATCCAGTGTAAACCTGAGGGCATAAGTGCAAGAGGCATGTGGATGGAAGTTCCCTTTCATCAACGGAGCCGGCCAACACTCTTTCAACAAGCACAAGAGAAGCATTCATGCCTACTTGCAAAACCATGCATATCAGACGTACGCAAGGCGGTGCATGGACCGTAGTTTGCTCCACACTGAGTGCATGGAACCACTATTTGAGCATAGCACGGCTACGAGGACCGTGCACCCCGTCCCCCCCTCGCCTTGATTCACAGTCTCCTGAAGCCAGCAATCGAGATTGAGGATGTTACACAGGTAGGCAATTTGTACACATTCATCTCAAGCGCAGCCACATCGGGGATATCAAATGACCAACATAGAATTTGAAGGGGAATAAGCACGCGAAATTGACGTGGAATATGCAGTAGAATAACAGAAGTGAGTAGATCAAATAAAGTGGAATACTTTCTGTCCAGCTTACAAATAGGTAGTTTAAGTATAAGTCAGCGTTGCCCAACTGCGGTGTAGAGGCATGATGTATGCAGCATCAACCTAAGCATGAGACACCATAGGATTATGACATACGAATCTTGACAAGATGAGCGTATGAAGCAACTAACAGTTATGCAGTTACAACGTGAGGTAAAACATAAGTAAAACCACAGTGAGACCGTGGTAACTTATTGTTAGTTGGTATGACCACCGCTTCACTACAACTGGTTATGCGTTGCTCTGGTCACGTCATGACTCCGATTGGCTATTCGACCCCGGCTTGGCTGACAAAACAACAGTAGCGGACTTCGTAAACCGTGTATTTGCCCAACGACATGACGAAACGTAAAGCATGCAGGTTACGTTTATAGGTATTGAGCAACCTTGAAAATTCTTCTTTTCTTTTTCTTCCTTACTTGCCAATAATAGTTTCAGTATCTTCGGGAACATTCTTTTCATTGCTAAACGAGACTGTTTGAAGAGATATTGGTAGAATCTGTTGGTTCTTATGGAAAACAAACGCCGCTGCTCAATTCGTTAGGAGGAGCACCTCATAACCCCTCCCCGTCCGAAGTCCACTGATATGGGATTTCAATCTGGGATTCACTGGGAACGGTGTGACGGGGACTCTGCATCGATCTGTCCATCTTCTGGGCCGACATTCAGGGGTAACACAGGGTGTAGTATGTTCATCTTGAGGAGTTGCATCCGTATTCGATAACTTGAATTCATCCAACCGTATTCCCATAGGAGTCGTCCAGGCATCTTCAATTGTATTTGGCTAAATACATCTCCTGAGTTGGTTGATGTGACGGACCTACATTTCTTTGCCCACGATTACCTCATAGAAGACATGACCGTACTGTTTTGTAATTAGGCCACGTGTCCATACGATATTTTCTCGCCGATAGTCTTTTGCCAGAACCATCTGTTCAACATCGAAGCACATCGCTATTGCTTAGTACCTCTGATTTCATTGGCGTTCCAATTTCTGGTTTCTCCTTGCGCTGCGATTCTCCTGCGGTTTTATGAACTCAAAAGTTGTTCCGGGCTTTCTCAGTAGGAACGGTTCTGCCGGGGATTTTCACTCCGGTGCCTGCGGATTGGGTGCGATCCTGTACTTCAATAAAGAGATCTCATGAATCGATACACACCCCCCCTTCAGTTTTGTGCAGTGCTCTCTTGAACGTGTCCACGAATTTCTCTGCCTGTCCATTTGACTGGAAATGGCAGGGAGGCGGACAGAGATGTTCCAGTCCGCACGTCGCACAAAAATCGACGAATTGCGCTGAGGTGAACTGAGGTCCGTTGTCAGATCCAACTGTTTCCGGGAATTCAAAGCGACTGCGAACTTCTCTGAGGGCGGTTAGTTTGGCTGTTGAGGTGGCGTTCGACATTTGTGAGAGTTCCGGCCACTTACTATATGCGTCAACGACAGGTAAGAAGTTATGTCCCTTGATTAGTCCTTTAAAATTAAGGTATATTCTTGACCATGTTTTAGTGGGTGTTAGTCAAGAAAACTATTCACACTTTCGGGGTAATTTCGCCGTCATCGAACACGAGCAGGTTAGGTCTTCAATTCGTGA